CCTACTGTAAAAAAGAGAGGACAAACCAGCTTCCAACTGAAGATGAAATTAGGAAAACACGATGGATGTGGATAGGACATACACTCAAGAAATCATCAATCTGCATCACAAGGCAAGCCTTAACTTGGAATTTTGAAGGGGAATGGGAAAGAGGAAGGCCAAATAACTCATTACATCGGTAGATGAAAGTAGATATGAAAAGGATGAATAACACTTTGGAAGGATTGCTCAGGACAGGGTTTGATGAAGAATGCTGGTGAGCGGCCTATGCTCCTTCACGAGGAGTAACAGGCGTGAGTAGGCTACCATGGTACTGTATGGCCTGACGTTACTCCACTGCCTTGTGGATTAGACCTCTAGGTCAAAGGTTCCGGGTGCGGTCCCCTAAGGTATCTACCTGTTTCCGTTTAACCATCCGGACAGTATTTCAGCCCTCACACAAATCGAATGATTTATATGGCGCATATCTATTTGGTCCCTTCTTGTACGAATGTTTATGTATGAAGATACGATGGTCGTTATATCCGAGAAATTGATCAGTCTCTTGTTGGAATATGTGTGTGGATCGCCCCGATATTGCCTTAAGTCACAAGCTCTATTAACGAAGATCGGTAGTGGCTAGCAAACGAATCCAGGACGCGCGTTTCGTTTTACTTGAGATTCGTCATCTGGATATACTTACGTCTCAGAGACAATGTGTACTCCGGGAATCGAACCCAGTATCGTTCGGTCAATCTTTACCCCATTTCACAAGCAAGCGGCTAACAGCACTCAGTAGCTAAGTGAATAACATGATGGCGTTTGAATCGTACGGAATTGGTTTGAGTCGTGGACTAAGTATCAAATCTTGGATGTAGATACACCCATCTGACGAGTCCCTGTCCATCTTCGCTTACTGTTCTTATATTGTGTTCAATTTATTGATTACATTCTCCCATAATCACAGCCACTTTTTGGTTTTATCTTGTATAAATATTATTTCCTATTTTATGGTGTAATGCGGTCTGTTTAGCTAGTATATAAACCAATTATGTTTGAAATAAATGATTCTCATAATTGAAGCTGTTATTAGCGTTCTGGATTCAACTGGTAGACGGTCTTGGTGACCTTTAGGCTGTTTATACCAGTCGAACATCATCGATTTAGCACAATACTAAGATTGATAACTAACCGGGCTTAAAGACACAACACAGATGATATTGATTTACCTTTGACAATTTTAATAATATGTTTTTTTCTCTTTCTCCCCCCCCCTTTCAAACAGTATCATGAACTTGTACGAGTCACTTTACATATCTTCACATATCTATTAAACAATCAAATCGATGATGTAATAGTTTCTATGGTGAAAGAATCAATCAATTGTATATATTTCACATTTGATAATATATTAAATAAATATAATAAATTAAATGATGTAATATTAAAATCTATTCAATACTTTGTTGAATGGTTATTAAATGATCAATGTAGAAATATGAATGAATATTCATCATATATACAATTAGCTTCTCATTTATTCTCTAATATATTCGATAAAATCAATAGTTTATTGATTAATCAAGTTAAACTGATTGGTGATAATGATGATGTATTGTTTGGAAGATGTATTGGATATACTAAAGAAGAACGTATAAATCATCCTATATCACCAATTTTAATGTCATTTATTGCACAATCTATTACAGAAGAAATTGAAATATCAAGTAAATTTGTTAGGCATTTCATTCATTTCAAATTTCATGTAAGTGAGATATCATTTGTTAAAGATTAATTTGATTGTATTTACTATTGAACATTGTTTTTCTCTAGAGAGGCTATTGACTAGTCGTTGGATTATTATTAATTCATTGAGTGATTAAAACCCTCGTTTTAGTGAAATTGATGTAGATAGGTAGGTAACAGTTACACATACCCATAAATGCCCTAATATGGGCGAGAACGGGGAAAGTCAACCCTCTATCTCTCTCGAAATGCTGTCACATGGCCACCGTGCATACAACCACTGACAGGGAAATCCTACTCACTTCATTCTCGCGGCGCGGGTGTTTACGAAATTGAGAGGATGAAAAGTGAATGTCAAGCGCTTTAGCTGGGTTGGTGGATATAGAGAATCCACCTGGGGGAGTTGGGAATCCCCAAATCCATACCAATCTTACACATGGGCTCCTAAGGAAACAAATGGCGTATAAACCAATCGTTGGTAATCGGCTACCATGGGACTGCATCTCCTTAGGTTGTTCCACTGCCTTTTGGTCAAAGGCTCAGGGTGTGACCTCCTAAGAAAACCACCTGTTTCGGTTTGGACACCCGGGCAGTGTCCCAGCTTTCACATAAATGGAGTTATTTATGTGGCGCATATCTATTTGGTGCTTTCCTGTACCTATGTTTATGTGCTTAAATAAATACACATGACTTCTCTTTTAAAATACCAGTCAGTAATTATTGAAGCGATGTATACTCCGTATTAATTTTTAACGAACAAATGCCAATCCACATAATGATAAAAACTGTAGTTATACTTTGATGCTTTGAGTATATATATCTTATTGAAATTCCGTAAAACTGTGTGATGCCTACACTGTGGGCAGTTTTCAAAATTTACGGGAACCATACCCCATTGACTACAGAAATGTGACATCAAGTTAACCACTTAATTGGGCCTAATATTTGTTTGTAAGTTTAATATCAGAGCTCATTAGGTTTTTGTCAAATCACTCGATAACTGCGTGATCGGATCAAAATCTACCGTACCACATTAGGCGCATGTTCTATTCACTTAAACCTAGCACCGGTGATGTCATGCGACGTGTAGTTTAATATGGATTTTAGAATAAATAGACTAAAGGAGGGAATAGCACTCTCTAGTCTAAATATTGCATTAACAAACGTTTCATCCATGAAAACACGTTGACTCTTATAGAGAGTAGTATCTTTGTGAATGGTAAACTTTTGAACGACATAACACTTATTTCAGCATTATTTAAAGCTGGGTAAGAAGATATATTGCTTATCAACGTTAAACACAATAACATTTTCCAGTCAATACAAACTGCTTGAGCATAGTACGAAATCTTTAGAAGACATCAAGAAACTTGAAAATAAATCGGCAACATTACAGTGGGGTACTGAACACGAAAAGATTGACAGTCGAAACCTTAGGTATATATGCATATTCATACAATTTTGATTAGTGAGATATAGTACAGCGACATGCACCGTGCCAACTAATAAATATAAACTCATTTAGTACACTACTCCTTTATTTTACTTTTTTGAATAACAATGAAATACTTCCATCTGTTTTGAACAGTTGTTTCAATTGACTATAAACAGTTTGTTTAACATATGTATGGTCAGTCCTTTTCTTGAAACACCAGATATGAATACATACATTTGTTCTTTTACTATTATTTTCACATTAATGACTTATATCTACGTCTACAATTTTAACATCTCAACGTAAATGGATCGATTTATATTCGATAAATTTTAATTATTTTCATAGGGAAGCAGGAATAAAACTGCCTGTGACTTGAAGTTAGAGCGTGGTGATTGCTCCTGGGTCCGAATCTCACAAGGTGGGATCATGTATGCACACTGCTGAGAATTCCCACAATAGGTACGAGACAGCTGACCAATGATTCTAAGTTTTTGTTATAACGCGAGTTCCGCCTATTAGAGAGCAGCGAATTATCGATCGGACTAAAGACACGTAAAACACATAAGAGCAACCTAGAGTTCTGATTGGCTCTGCTTCCCTGTTTAGCCCAGCCAGTCGAGTCCAGAACACAAATCTAAGTCTTAGTGATATGAATCATCATATTTTAAACATACACTGTTTATATACCAAACAAACAGACTACATCGTACCATAAAATAGAAAATAACATTTGTACAAGATTTAACCTTCAGGAAATGACACAAATAAATATTGACCAATAGGGAGATGACACGTTGGAAGAATGTTGACCAATGGGGAAATGACACTACTCATTCAGGAATAGCATTAAATAATTTCTAAATACTAGAATGGGTTTTGTGGAGAATTGGTAATTTCAATAGTTGAAATCATGAATCAATTGAAGCTAGACCACCATGGGAAACCTGGAAGCACTGGACGGCCGTTTCGTCCTAGTATGGGACTCCTCAGCAGTGCGCATCCACCCTAACAGTTTTCCATGGTTCAATTAATTCATAATCTCAACTATTGAGATAAAACTTTTTTTTTAACCCCTTTCATTAATTCAGAGCTCTACTCTTTCTTATGAAAAATGTCCAATTGTAGTTGTGTCTTTTTTTTTATATTTTTCTTACTAGGAAAGAAAAGAAAATCAACAAAAACAAACAATTTTCAATTTATTTGATGATATAGAAAAATTATTTAAATTATTTTTATCATTAGCATTTAGTGGTATCAGTGTTCCAGAATGGTCAACAGTTGAATCATGTATACAATTCATTTGTGATTTATTCAATTTATTAACTAATAATAATGAGATTGATCTATTTATGATAATAAATGATCAATTATTATTTGAAATTAATATATGTTTATTATTAATATTATCTAAAGGTTTACCATCTGAAAAACATACCATTAAATATGCAGAACTTTATTGTAATTTAGCTAAATTATTTCCATATAAACAATTTCTTTTATTAAATTTTATCACTGGTAATCTACATATTATTAATCATGAATATCAATTAAAATTAAAACAAATTCCACATTGTAATATATTAATTGAAATAATAACAGATTGTTTATATTCTACAAGTTTAGCAGAACGTGCACATTTTGTTACCATAGTAACTAAACCTTCAAATTCACTGAATAATATAATAAAAAGTATAACAACTTTTATACGTTTATTATTATTATCAACACAAAAAACATAAAAATGATTAACATAAATTTATATTTTTATTATAGATAAATAATAAATATTATACAATAAATTGTTGATTTTCTTTTTCTTCTTCTTCTTGTTCTTGTTCTCTGTTTAATTCTGAACTTTCTATTTGAGTTTCTAAGCCCTATTATAGAAAAGTGAAGAATTCATAGTGAAATTATAAAAAGAATTACTTACATTAGTGTAAATTAGGATATTATTAGTTTCACCATTATCAGTTTGTACCAATATCTCTGAATTATTATCGTTTATTAAGTCTAGAAATTTAGAAAGTAAAAAAAAAAAATTTTTTTTTTAAATAATGTAAATTTACCAGCTTGATTTACAATTGCTAGTTGAGGTTGACCATTTTCACCTTGAATCATCACTAATGTTTGACCTTCTTCAAGTTGAAGATCATCAGGAAGTATAAATTGTTGTACTACTTCTCCACCTTCATCAGTTACATCAATGGTAGTTGTTCCATCACTTTGAGTTGTAATCTGAGTTCCGCTGAGCATAGCTGTTTGATCTTCTTGTGATTCAACAAGTCTCATGGATTGTGGCTGGTCTGTATCAACAGTCATCATAACCACATCATTATCGGAAATATTGGTAGTCGATGTAGACAATAAGGAAGGATCACTTATCATGATAATCTTCTGATCTGTAGTTCCATATGGGTTATCACTCTGAAATCAGATATAAATTACGAGTTAGTGTGAAATAATATTTTACTAGATTGATATTGTTATAACTTGTGTGCCCTGTTTATGCATAACCTAACGATACCGCCAATTAGAGAGCAAAGAAATATCGACCGGACCAATGACGCATAAAACCTGTACGAGCAGTCTAGAATACTTATCGTACCTGCTTCCTGCCTAGCACAACCAGTTAAGTCCAGAACACCAATCTCAGCCTCTGCCATATGAATCATTTATTTCAAACATACTGGGTTTATATACCAACCAGACAGATCACATCGTACCAATAAAATAGGAAACAACATTTACACAAGATTTGGCCAAATGTGGCTGTGAATGTGGGAGGTAGTGATTAATAGACAAGGCATAACTCAAGAATGGTAAATCGTATAATAATAGTTCATAGGTCATAATAAGAGGGACATGACTATGAATAGTTTAGTTATTTAACAATTATACGATTAAAAAAAGTACGCATAGTATTGGTCCATAAATGAGTCCCAAAAGTTACTATTCACTATGTTTATCGGGGCACAACAGATACCTATATATAAACCATTAAGATATCTAAAGTGGAAAACTACAATATCTTGAAACATTGAGTAAACTTGGTCTATGTACGGCAACGGCTTTACCAAATGACTAAGTACGAAAATGAAGATTATGGAATGCTTTTCTCATACACTAGCCCTTACAATTTACGTTTTTAAACCCTACTATACTTCAGCAGCTCATCTCGAGATTTCTGACATCTTTAGACTTCACTACGATGCGTTCAGAAACTTAGAACTGAATGTGATATATACAGCGGCACATGTCAATTGCACGTAGGTCAGATGGACATGTCTAGTTGTTTTTAGAAAGATACTCTACTGATGTTTATCACACCTCGGAAACTCATAACTGTTCTCTGAATGTAGGTTTGAAAAGTATGTCTCATATGCATCCGGAAACCATGTAAACTTGTTATTTCACGTCAGTGTGATTCTACTAAGGCCAATGTATTTTACTACATTCCCAATAATAATAATAAACAAGTTAAACGCAGTTGTAGGTTGCAACGAGTAACCACGGTGAATATAAGCCGTTGCTTATATATATATATATATATATATATATATATATATATATATATATATATATATATATATATATATATTTCCGCATATAAGAAGTTTGTGTATCACTCATGAAACATGCCGATGATTAAGAATCCATACCTAAATAGTCAAGATCATTTTGCATTTTTACTCGGCTAAGAATTCATTTTCAGTAATCTAAATTCGTAAAAACTTTAAAAGATGATAGGGTATCAACCTACTCCATTTCGATTGGACTCTTCATGTTTTTCAGAAGCTTCACTTTGTCTAGCTTCTGTTTGTGCAAATGATATTGACATGTCTGGATGCAGCGTTGCAGTTAGCGTTCCACATTCTTCAACAAGGTGTCTTGCAAGACTATTGCCATCTAGGTTATTTGTTCCGCAGTGTGAACAGTAAAAAAGTCGTGAGTCGATTTGGCTTTCCATATATCTTCTAATAGAATCATTCGGGTTAGGCTGCTTCGTTAAACTTTGCTTCTCAGTTTCTGGTACATTTACAACATGGCCCATTTCATCAGTAAAGACAATTGTTGCAAAATTCGCCATGTCACTAGGTGTCAAATCTGTAATCTCATTTACGACAAGATTTTGTCGATCACCTGAAACAGTCGCTAACTCTGATGACACATTATCGTTACATGGAAGATCGTACTCATTGCACCAGTCGAAAAAGATCTGACGAACCATTGGCATGCCACAATCAAGATCTGTTGATTGAGAAGCGTTCGAATAGACATGAAGTTTTTGAAAATGACGCTGAAAGCCAATCCTACAGCATGTTGCAAATCTGCACACGGAACACGGTAAATATTGCCTGAAAATAAAATTAGTGTTGAAGTGGAGATCAAAGAGGATATACCATTAAATGGCTAAAAAGATTTATTGAAAGAGCAAATATTAAAAAAATTGATTCCACTTGTAATGTTTATGTTCTATGTTGAATCATACAACCTGGAAAACATATGTTTAGTGCTTATGGTGCTTATTTCACAATCTAATGTAGTTAGAATCGTTCAGAAGTCTAAGACATTGTACATTCATAGCACTCTAATTACTCTAGTTAAACAATCTTATAATTTATACATGTGACATTGATAATTATAAGTAAATATTATTATCTTAATAGTTGTTCCATTTTTCTGTAGATTTTGCTGTAGGGCAAATGAAATAGGTCTTTTTCTTATTTTTATTTGATTTTTATACACTAATCATGTGACATATATTTCAAACACTTACGCATGTTCAGAATCACCCATACGTTTTCCACATTCCAGACATTCCAAATCCTCAATATTCTCAGGCAAGAAGTTTATAGCTAAATTTTTAGCACAACCAGCCTCCGGAGCATTCATTGATGTTACATGTGGTCGAACTATACGAATCGAATCTATGGATGTGTTGTGGTCGCTGAAGTTCTCAGCAGCCTGGGTCGTGTGCTGTTTTGATTGATAACATTCTAGCTATGAAAAATTGAATAATAGTTAAGAAATTACGTTTGAAATACTTAAAGATAAAAGAGCATGTAGAATTATAACCGCTTACTGATTTTTATTATAAGAGTATTCTAGTTATACTTATATGAGAGGATTGGTATAATTCAGTAACCAAGTAAATTACGTCTACCTGACTCTGAGTCATACTCACTTTTTAGGAGGAAGTTGAAGATATTGACGTCGAAAATAAGTGTGATTCAAATCCGAAAACCAGCATTCAAAAGTTAAATGCTTGATTCAGTAAGTCATTAAAGTAAGTGTGTTTGTGTTAAGGACAGAACGACCAATAGTTGAACGCTGTAGACAATCTACTGTTAAGCTACGAAAACTAGTGATTCTGGGAATCAAGCCCAAGTTGGTGCATACACACACAATAAAATTAGCGGGATGATGTTGAATCGATTAAATATTGTTTTTCGTATGCAAAACTTCGGTAGATGATTGACAGACGTTTCCTTCCAGTTAGTGAATGGTTACAAATATCCGATTCTTATAAGTCCAGCCAGCGCTGGTTTATACTTTTTGGTAAGCTGATGGATAGTGCTGGACTTAATTTGGTTTGATATTTGTGAGATCAATTCGTTCTTCAATATTAAATACTATTTCTATTCACTTATTCTTTGTACGACTCTTTTCTTTAGTACTTTTTCGTAATTATATTACTCTATTTTGTATGACACGTTTATGTTGTTCTGATTTATTGTCTACGCCACAAAATTCGAGTACTAACCTATTTCCTGTTTTTCCGACTATTATGTATTGTGTTTCGACGTTTAATGCAACAATGTTGCCAGGTGTTAAATCTTTTTGACAATTCAGTTTAACAAGTGTTGTTTATGTAGCCAGTTTTGTTATAAGACTAGTTAGACACACGCTTCACAACTCAATTATAAATTGTAAATAGGAAAATCAAGTAAATTACTTTTAACAACTAACCTCATATGAATCTTGACGAAGATCTGGTTTCTCAGTACCTAGGTCTCTTGTAGCTTTATGATCTAGGCGTCGATGTACTTGGTAGTCTGATTTATTAGTGAAATTTAAACGGCATGTTGGACATCGACGAAGCTGATGTTTGATTTGATGCAGACGTAAATGTTGAAGATAAACTTGCGTCTGACCAACACCTAAACCTAGGCCTACAGTACTTATCCCACCAGAAGCTGACAGACAAACTGGTTGAGTGTTCGAACGCGCATCCGAAGGGGTAAATATACGAAGACAATAGGTACAAAGTAAGTGGTTTGAGCTATCATGCATCTGCAACAAAAAAGATCATATGATTATGAAACTGTATAGGATTAACGGAGTATATACTAAAGAGTTATAAAATATATTAGAGATGTGGTTACACTTACAGAATATCATAGAAATAGGGAAAGATTTTACTTGTGGCTTCATGAAATGGTTAGCTTATCACACTTTCTGTAAGATTCTTGCAACTACTTGACACTGATCACTTTATGTCGGTGAATCGTATGACAATGCACGTAGATTTTCTACGCATACAATTCCACAATGCAAGTATAAGGATAGCAAAACTTGGTAATAAGAGTGTTAAGGAGTTAGAAGAAGCAGGTGCTTCTTATAACCTGCAGAATATGTTTCGACCCACTAGAGTCACTAACAACAAGATGCCTGACATCAGTAAAACAGTTCATGAGATTAATATCACTCCAATTAATAACATACCTTTGGATTTCAACCTCACTGTCATGTGCTAAAAGAGGATAGTCTGATCATCGTTGTTGGAAAAATCAACCTACCATATGTAGCACATGCTTTTGGTTACTAACTATATAAACATTTTCTATTACAGAAAATGTACGAATGCGATAAACAAGAAAGTGCAAACCCCTTCATCCTATAAAGGATTTACAATCACATCTACTCGAACAGCTCTTGGGCGGGTGTTGAAAGAAATTAATTTAATTTGTGGTATTAACGAAGCGATATGAAATGGAAAGGAATGATAAACTAAGTTAGAATGGGGAATAAATTTTGATACATAGGTGTGTTACTAACTTAACAGTGGAAAAAATCCTCATCCCGTGTTAGCTGGTAAAACATCAAATCTTGTTGTTTTTTACCGAATGAAAATAATGTGGCTTCCTGAAGTCGTAAAACAATTATACCATATTGTTTAAAATGAAGTGCAGTAATTATCAAATCATTTTACAAGCGTAAAACGAGTGGACTAAAGTTTGAAAAAGAGTGGATAAAGGAATGAAGTAGCTATCCCGAGAAAGGTATATTATGAGAAGACATTTATACAGAAAACATCCTTTAGTTTCCCATTTTGGAAGTAATATAAAAGGCTTACAATACTATATGACAATCGATTCTCGTTCATGACTAGTTATTAGTCATATGTTAAGCAACTCATAGTCATAACATCAGTGGGAGAGATTTGAACTTACCACTTTGCTATCGTAACCAATTTATATAATGGACATGGTAGTACTACTACTGAGACGAAGCAATTTCGAGTGAATACAAAACGCTAGTTGGGGTATTAGAACGAATATCTGGCATAGCACAGATAATAGATTAGAAATTTTTGACTCGAAAATTTAGTTTCCAAAGCTCTTCACAATACATGATAAGTCTATCGTAGATGTAGACTACCTGATTGGGATCCGTGAGACGATAGCAACCGATAGTTGGAGACATTGAATGACATGGCTCAAAATCGTTTGCAATGGCGCAGGTGTATCCACTCTTTGCGTTTTCAGAAATTCTAATCTTTTGAATTCTTCATGTCCTTTTTTTCTCTTTCCAAATTTATTTCATTGGATTATACTACTTAAACAACATCTTCAAACCCTAGTGTTTTCGATTACTGCTTATACTCTTACTACCTCTACCACTATGGGATTTGAATCGACAATTGTATCTCTGTGCTAATGTGGTGTGGCAACTTGAACTGATGTACGTACGTACGAATTTCTACGTTGTTGCTGACTGACTATCGCACAACCAGTCATTCTTGAATGAGGGTAAATACAAATAAGTGAGATGGGGAGCGAACCAACAAAACAAACCTTTTTGAAATGATCCAGTATGTCTTCATACATAGATGATCGAAACAAACATAGGCGACAAACATAAGGCATTTCACATTGACGATGAGTGGACTGAAGGTGATGAGCTAATAGTAATTTGCTGGCAGCAACTTTCCCGCAAATGCGGCAACTGGGTGTAGTTGTGATACCATTAAAGTTGGGTGCTAAGATTTCCATATGGTCAAAATTACTAACAGGATCATCATGACCATCTATTCGTTGTTGAGTTAATAGCTGGGAGGTGATTTGAACAAGGGGGTTCGTTTTTGCTTCATCACCTACCGAATTGGGATCAGAAGGTGGAACAGTATGCTCCTATAGGTATAACAAGAAAGGCGAAAAAGAGACCTCATTAGAAACCAGACACACATTATCAAACCACAAAGAATGTGAAAAAAATTCATACAATTTCTACAGACTTTAACACTATCTTAGTTCAAGAGGCATTTTGGTAGAAAGTAATCTACAGTATACAACATCTACTTAAACATGTTGAGTTATACAAGGATAAGTTAACGTAAAAATGTTAAAATACAAAATTTTAGATACACAAATAAAATGATTAAATGTCACAAGCTTTTCGAGGATATGAATTTTGTAGGCTATTCACAAACATGACTGTTAGGGTACGTTTTTGTACGTCATATCACAAAAAATATGATTACTAATTGAAACAATGGTTGTGAGAGTCATGAAGAAAGTCTATTAAACAAAATAATGATAATAATACCAACAAAGAACACTTATTCAAGCTTCGCAAGTAGTTCGACTAAGAAAAAATATTTCAAGCTCTCGGTCAATAAAACAGCTGAATATTAGTTAACAGATCGACAAATAAAAAGAAAAACTGGTTGCAAAAATTAATGAAAATGAAATAAAATACTAGTTCCATTAGAGTCGTGCGTAAAGAAAAGTGTCGTATGAGAAGACAAAATAGTTTAATGCTAAGGGGTTTGTATGAATTACTCACAACCAAAGACAAATTGTGATAAGTGCCACTTCAAAATAAAGAATTATAAATAAATAGTTCATAGCTCACTTTTTCAATGTGATCTCTTAGATCAAAAGCACAAGAGAACATTTGATTACAAACGGAACATTGTGTAGTATCTGCGGTGTCTAGGCAAGCTTGTGAAGCCTCATCAACATGACCAAGAATATGAGACATTAGTTTTGTATTTGAGTAGAAAATTCGTTGACAAACCGCACATTTGAATCTGAAATCACCTTTTTCCTCCACATAATCGGAATTTCCATCTTGGCGCCCAAAATAATACTCGTCGATTGGAATGTACTTAACTAAATTTTGATTTTAAATAGGATTCAATAATAAAATAGGTAATAAACAATATTGTGAGGCTTACGAACTCCAGATGAGCTAAGTTAGGAATAAAATAGTTCTATGAAATAACCGTAGGATAGTTATCTTATTGAGTTCAATGTTAACGGAATTAAGCGAATGTTTTTAATATGGCTACTGAGCAGATGAAGTTACGTCATGGTGCGATTGAAAGTTAACAACAGAAGACTCATACAATATGGTCGCGTGTTTGCTGAAACTTGTATTTTGAAAAAAGACATAAATTGGCACTATTGAGAACCATAGACAGATATCCTAAGGATTTCCAATATAGAGAACCCAGAAATTATTGACAGGGTAGTAAAAACTTAATCAGTATGTTTCTTACTACGTATCAGATTTTAGGGGTGTTTAAGATGTATCTAGATGAAGACCACAAACTTCTAAGACAGTTTTCCGTTTACTTTCCCTAATAAATGATGGTTATAATAAACAAGGAAGCCCTTGGTAACTTTTAACTCAACCACACTGACCTTTACTATTAGCTAACTAGTTAGTTTTACCATGAGTTTATGATTTTCCTGTGTTTTAAAGTCATAGATATTGTATTACGGAGGTTGTTGAATGCCATCTTGAATTCCGTAGAACAGAAAGCCTTCAGGCCGAATTATGACATATCCTGCAATCCTTCATAATTAGCAATAATCTTACGAAGAATCCTATTTGATGTTATTTTTACCAGAAATTACGTTTACTGACTTGATAAAACTACGTAGAGGAGCACTGACCTGCCGGTAAATCAAAACAAATAAATGTATATTAAATATACATAAGGTGTAGAATTTAGTTTGTTTTGTGATTTTAAGAATTTGCACAAGGAAATTGTTTTGAAAATTGTTAAGAATGATAAGTACACAATTTGGAGCCAACAATGGATTTCTAAGAACAAATTATTGAGATCATCAGTCTTACTCACCTCCTTTACCATCTTTACACGGCTTTTTAACTGATAAACCCTTAAATGACTGAACTATTTCAATGCTTCCTTCTGGACCAGAATTTATGATATTGACTTCTGGTTCTGGAGCATCTTCATCTACATCTGCAGCATTACGAAAAACAATAGTGGGTGGTAAGAAAGTTCGTAGTGGCCGAACGGAACCGTGGAGTTTTGCTCGTTCACCTTCAACAAAGCATTCTGAAATATGGACTGCGGGCCAGTCAGAACGAATAGGTTTCTCCGAATCTAAAAACTCATCAGGAATAGGTACATGAGCCTTAACTATGGCTACTTCACCCTCTGAAACATGAAAATTAATGTAACATAGAATTCTACCTTCAGAAATAGGAAATTCCCAATTATTTTGTTGCAGCGTATTATACACAGATATCGCCCCGGCATGTTGAAGTGCGTTTAAGGACTCCCCAGTTAGTAAACCATGCTCTCCTATTGTGACAGCCTCTTCCGTCACACATACATTGCTACAAAGCGCAAGGCGACTGACTGCATCCAAAAATGTACGGTATTCTCTAAGAGAAATAGTATAAATGAATTTATACGTCAATTTATCATACTGGAGGAATAGCAACTACGAACTAAGTTTAACTACACTGCAACATTCAGTTCCTCAATAAACACGTTAGTAAATATACTTATTGAGTGAGAAAAGTTTTAGTTCTAGTTTTTAGGTAACTGTACCTGGACTTAAACTTATAACCTGGTATTAAAATAGGCTGGGGACTACTGTTTTTCAGCGATAGGACATAGCTAAGATTGGCGTCTTGATAATAGTCGTTATATAAACCAACTATACTGTCATAATATGTTGCTTACGGACGAGTCCTATAGTAGTCTTACTATACTTGTTTTCGTTAGAGAGAGAAGTATCTAACGGCAGTGTTAATATTGTGGACAGTAGCACTCATTTCTTTGAGCCCCAGCTTCGCTAAGTATGCTATGTGCATGGGATCGAAAGGGGATGGCAAGTGTCTTGAAATTAAAATGGCCCTGATGGTGAATGGATTGAATCTGATGACGAAAACTATCATCAGTTCGTAATGTATATTCACCATTTGGAAACGTTATCTTTCGGTCTAGGCGCTGAACAACTACAACACATTTATTACAACCCACTTTCTCATTGTGATACACTGTATCTAATGTCCAAATGAGCAAGTGCGTCACAGATTACAGCAACTAGTTTAATAGCTATGTATTTATTGAACCTAACACGATGCGACCCCAAGTGGCATATCTCTTTTAATTCAGAGATGGTTTCTGCAGATATCTCATTAAATTCCACCGGCTTAGTATTTAATCAATAGATACCTATCGTAAACACGTCACTAGACCTAAGGGCAATCATGTGTCCTAATATAGGCCATGACTGTTGACTAGAACTCACTGAAATAGAAAGTCTATCCACACAGATATGCAAGTTCAACGTATCAAAATCACAGGTACACGACCAAAGTTGAACATATCTAAGCAGATTGGTTTTCGATTCTAGATGGTAGTAAACATGATTGCTGATTAACTTAGGTTGGATGCTTGTGTTCTTTCATAGGAAACTTATGTTCTTTGGTTGTAGAAGGAAGACAGAAAATGTGAGTACTAACTTATGATAACCTTTTACTGCTATCATGTAGGTGGAGTGTTTAGTATAAAACATTAGCGTAAGTTACACTTTATGTAGGCACTTGAAAATTGTTGTCAATGTTTGTTTGTTAAATTTCAGAACACAGAGGAGGAATGCTAATATTCGCAATGGTAACAATGCAGTTTGAGAAGGGTGTTACTTTTTATATTTGTTTTAAGGTTATACCTAATTTCCTTTTCAAGTCTTCTCTTACCATGGACTACTTTTTCACTTGCATGTAATAAGCTGAAACTGGAAAAGTATATTTTATAAATGTTTGATTTCATATGCACCTAGCAAATAGGACACATTCTGAATGAACGAGCATCTGTCTGTTATTAATCCAGTAAACTATGGTGTTAATTAATAAATGTCTTGGACAATACATCTTTTTTCGATTAAGTCGACACATGCCTTAAGGTTTTTTTGTAATAGAAGTGAAAGTGAGCATACGAGACATTTATGGCTAGGCGAAAGGTAGACAATGATGCCTATATTTGGGCGAAAAGTCGATATTATGACGATAATTCGAAGGTAAAGTGAGGTCAAGAGAACATTCTCGTCACGTAATTCGTTTTTATTTTGTATTTTTCGATGGAATTCCTCTTCATCCCCGCCTTGACCGGTAATATTTTTCACTTTCTCAGTTGCTTGGGGAGTCAGTTTATTAACATAGAAAACTGTGACATGTAATATGAAACGATAAATGTTGAGTGACATATATAAGCACTAAGACCCCTTTTCAATTAGGCGGACAAAAGCAAACAACCTCGATTAAGGATTAACTGTTACAAGATTGGTACCAATTTTTTAAAATAATTAGAATGTAACTTCAAGACATGACTTACTGCAGGCGTGTTTGATAAGCCTTTAATTGTGCATCTGATAAAGATTCATCATCACAAATGAGTGATAATGTAGCAAGACATCTCTTACGATGATCTGTTCTGTACGGCAGAGGAGCAAAAGGCTGCGACATTATGACCTTGAGACTACTGTATATATCTAAACAAACCCATGAACTAATATCACGTAAAGTCCTCAGCCCTTAGTACTTTTAGTGATAGATATGGAAGGTTGTATGAAATGCAAATAATCTTTGAGTTTATGAAATTACTACTATTCATTCCTGAATTTTTATTATGACTGGAAATCGACAGTTTAGAGACCAATAACCAAATAGCAGTCAGTATCTTTGGTTAGTTATGTGTTCCACATGAGGAATGGATGGTTAGTAATATATTCTTTTATCAGTACTGTCATCTAGCATCGACAAACTGTGGCGATACTACGTGTTTTAGTATAAAGCACGAGTACTTGAAAATGAGTTATGAGACCAAAATGAAAACAATATAATTTTCGTTTCCGAACATTCTGTTACTGTCCCTTCTTTCGTTTAGTTTCAATAGGAAAAAATTTGTGAGATATTATTTGGAAGAACCAATATTTGAAAATCATAGGTACCGTACAGGAGTGGATAGGAAACTTCTTACGTGACCGCAGACAGAGAGTGAGGGTCAATGGGACGCAATCCGATTGGAAGCCGGTCAAAAGTGGTGTACCCCAAGGCACCATATTAGGCCCTCTGCTATTCCTTCTCTACGTAAATGAATTACCGCTGTTGCTTAGGTCGTCGACATTATTATTTGCGTATGATGTCAAAATATGGAGAGCAATAAGAGGTGAGGCAGATCATCTGGATCTTCAATCTGACTTAGACGATTTAGTTAGATAGGCTCGAGATTGGGGTTTAGAAATCAACTCTAGGAAGAGTGTGCTAATGCACATCGGTCACGGCAATAATTACCATTATACTATTGATGGCAAACCTCTTCCATGCGTTCAAGAACATAAAGAATTAGGAGCAATAATAAGTCATGATTTAAAAACAACTGCGCACTGCAACGCAGCCGCTGTCAAAGGTTTTCGTGCGTTGTGGTCACTTCGCCGAGCGTTCAAATCCTTTGACGAGGAAATGTTTCGAATTTTATATCCCACCTATGTAAGACCACATTTAGAGTACTGTATTCAAGCAGCTAGCCCATGTCTGATAAAGGATACTACCTCACTTGAGCGTGTCCAGCGTGTGGGAACTAAATTAGTGAAGGGTCTTTCTAAACTCCCTTACGATGAGCGTTTTAAACGCTTAAACCTTTTCCCCTTGTCGTATCGTAGGACTCGAGGTGACCTTATACTGGCATTTCTTATCTTTAATTATGATTTGGGTGTTAATATGTCTTATCTTTTTGCTCCCTCCAGCACTAATAATCTCCGAGGTCATAGCAAGAAGGTTCATAAACCACGATCTAATAAACTCAAGGTGAGGTTCCGTTTTTCTCATCGAGTAGTCAATGATTGGAAGGCTTTGCCCGTTCAAGTGGTATCAGCCCCATCAGTGAATATTTTCAAAGAGAAACTGGACCTTCACTGGAAGCCAACCTGTTAGGATTAACACAAGTTCACTAACCTACTATCCTTATTACTGAAGACTGAAGACTGAATCGTCGTAATTGTACATCAAAGTCCGCTCGATTTTCGAACTGGGTCCGTTACCTTTCCCGAAATGGTCCAAGAACTAAGTCTTGTTTCAGACCCTATTGTATTGCATATTTGGTCGTGCCTCCACAATTACGCCTACAATGATGCTTTATTTGCAGCTGAAAGATTATATGCTGAAACTCACAATAGCGAAAGCCTTTATATACTAGCAACCAGTTTGTATCGAATTGGTAGGCCAAGACAAGTTAATAAACTACTTAACTCTGTCAATTCGTTATCTCCTAAGAGTCGGTTAGTTTCTTAAAACTGGATTTTCATTCTCTTATTAGATACTTGCTTGCGAAATGCTACTTTGACATCGGTTCACTTACGGAGGCTGAAGATGCTATACTGTTTTCTGGTCTTTCTTCTTCGTCCCTAGACGAGATAACCAGTACTTATGAAGAACAATCTTGCTACGTTTTGCTACTTTTAGGGGATATTTGCAAACACCAAGGAAGACTCAATGATGCTATTATTTACTACAAAAAATGTCTCGAAATGAATCCTCTGATGTGGTCTGCATTTAAAAACCTCTGTAATATCGGTGAATATGTTGAGCCTTCCTCTGTTTTCCAGAATCCTAACGGGCTTAAACTCACAACACCTGTGTATGCGGTTATGCTCGACGATCTACATAGTAATCCGTATGAAAGTGCTTCACGAGAAAATGTCAACCCTCAAAACTGTGAGTCTTTTACCACTCAGGCTTTAATGTCGTCAAAAGATTGTGAAAGTAGTGATCAGGAAACATTTGTTGATACAGATTGTCTGTACACCAATCAACGTCATTTCGTCTCGTTCTGCTCTAGAAGCTTCATTGGTGATTTGGTACCTACTCTTAAACCTGTTGACGTTCATACTCCAGACAAAGTTATTCCTTCTACTTTGTCTCCAAAGGCTCCAAAACCTGTTAACCGCGTTGCGCGCAAATTGTCACAAAATGCAAACTCGCAATCCATAAAACCAAATGTACCTCGTTTTGGTTTGCTTTCTTTTTTTCCCCAAAGTCCCATGTTCGCTTGTGTTCCCGTAAGTTCATGCTATTTCTTAGTGTGTTATCAGTGTTCCTCATACTGCTTTTTAAGCTTACCCACATTGTAGGCTCATTTCCAAAACCAATAGTCGATCTGTTTTTCTTAAACTATTAAGTTCTCTATTTATTACAGTATCTCTGTGAAGATTTAGTGTAAAATAGTTTTGAGCAACATGTATCAAGATATTTCTAGTCACTTAAACATAATAATCTTATCAGAAGAGTGGTTGGGTGTTTGTATTTTGGGGACAGTTGAGGGACTTGTGACATTGAAGACTTAAGTCGAGTTGCTGTCAAGAGACTCGACCTGTAGTTATACATAGCTAATATAATATAAAGGCATGATATATTTGTTAATCCATTGTATGGAGACTACAGTTTAGGAAGTGATATGTAACAGTGATAAAGGAACAAATAAAACATTTCACAACTGAAGAATTTGGAAAACTGGCAAATGCGATGGCAGCTTGTCCCATCTGTTTATTTTCTGTTCCTAGGGGAGATGCGTAGTCGGAATGGATAAATATTGATATAACCTAAAGGTATCTACTGATGGGTTTACGGCTACTTCAGTTGGTAATATCCCAGAGCACAAAACCATGACGCGAGATAATGAAGTTGCACCTGAATATTGTTCTTTCGCAGATAGTCTTAAAAGTTTAGTTTTTCAAATCGCCCAGATGTATGATTCATTTGTTTGGATTCCTGAAGTTACTCAATATATTGTTTTGCCCCCAAATGCCCTGGTACGGCCGAGAGTGGGGAGAGTTCGCTCTCCCTCTCGAAATGCTCTCACATGGCCATGCGTATATAGCCTCTGCCAGGGAAGTCCTACTCACTGCCTTCTCGTGGCGGGGGTGTTGTTTACAAAAATGAGAGGACGAAAAGCGAATGTCCGGCGCTTTAACCGGACCCCAAACCAATGGTGCACATGGGCTCCAGTATCCTGAAGGAACAAATGGCGTATGAACCAATCGTTGGTCACCGGCTACCATGGGACTGCATCTCCTCACGATGCTCCACTGCCTTGTGGGTCAGACGTTCAGGTCGAAGGCTCGGGGTGTGGCCCCCTAAGAAAACCACCTGCTTCGGTTTGGGCACCCGAGCAGTATCACAGCCCTCACACAAATCAATTGAGATTTGTGTGGCGCATATGTATTTGGTGCCTCCCTGTACCTATACTTATGTGTTAAAATAAATAAATAAAATAAACAATATATTGTTTACTGTTGTATGGTGGATTGACGGATAGGTCATCAATCGCCCTTCGTTAGCTCTTTAACCAGCCTCTATCTTTAAAACCACTTTAACTGTATATCATTATGTTTGAAGTATTCGTCTATGAAGTTTCTACTTAACCACCATATCCATGTCATCCTAACCTACAAATTGTGAAATGATTGTTCAGGAATCACATCGTTTCTTGTATGATTCCATAGTTCACCTTGTTATCATATTTTAGGTATTTTCAAAACTTTCTGAAAATCAAACTACATCTCCGGAATCAATCCTCTCGAAAGCTGTGCAGTTGCCTTCAAACCAGTGCTTACCAGAGTTACAGTTTACTCTTAACTCACTGAATAATAGCCAAAATGATATAACCTGTTTCCAAGTCCCTCGTCAGCGAAATGATACTTCATGCAACAACAACACAACTATGGGGGCCAAAAGGGATCCTCATATTGACGAATCGAGTGGGAACAGAAATGCTACATATAACGTCAAAATTAATACATCTGTTACCTCTTCAGAGAAATCTAATGCTCTCTCCGATACACCGACTAGTGCTCTACGTCATCTTGTCTCCACTACAGCATCTAATCTTGGTTTTTTAACACTTGAGCCAAATGTTACTTCAACTACCGCCTCTCTTGTCAGCACTCCAAGTGCCCGTCTTGAGCCACCTCTTCTACGTAGCACTTCTCAACGCAATTTGTATCCTACGCCTGGTACCCGCCACAACCGCGATTCTCTCTCAGTATTAAGATCGAATTTGCAGTTTTTCAATCCTGCTTCTCAAAGTCCTGGCATGTTGACTTCTTCTTCAACACCAAGACCACTTTCGAGTCAACAAACATCTACGGGGTGTCGAGCTGTCGAGAGCACCACCTCTGTAGACATTTCTACAGGTGGACCTCGAACAAGGTCCCAGGTGGCAGCAGCTGCAGCTGTAGCCAGAGCTTCTGGAATCCAAAGAAAGTCGAATAGATTTTTAAGAAGTCGAGGTCAGAACCGCAAGTTTGATTCTAAATTACTACTATCGGACTCGACGGGAAACTCTGCAAACATGCAACCTAAAACAACCAGTTCAGATGTATGTCCTGACCCCAGTTCCTTTAAAAGCATACATACTTCTATAAATGAAGATGCACCAGATTTTGGATGCAGCAACCATTACAATGCACCCTTGTCAATCGATGCCC